TCTGGGAACTCCCAAACTACCTGGAGCCCTGAGACCTGGCCCTGTCCTCAGCCTGCCCCTTAGGTGCATGCTGAGCTGTGAAACAGGACTACATGAAGCCTCTGTGTCTGCCCCAATCCTTGCTCCAAATGTGATCCCTTTTTTGGCCCTTCCATCCATCTAGGTAGAGGAGTCTTCAGGTATCCTGTGCTGTGACGTGTCCTCTGACAACCAGTATCTGGTCATGGGCTCCAAGAGCAGTGCCATCATCTACCAGCTCTTGTATTAAAGGTGGCATGCTATGGTCCTGCCAGTGAAGGCTAGTCTTTGGGCTGGTGTGGCTGAGAGGACGGCTTCACGGTGCTGGACATCTCTAATGCTGTCGCCTCCTCTGCCTTGGCTTTAGTGGCAGGTCATCCCTCCCCTCCAACACACCATTCTCAGCCCACACTCCCAGATTTTAATCAAATAACTTGGAGCTTTTTCCTTTGTTATCTTTCTACCACTGATTTCTGGGTTTTGGCAGGAAACTTGAAATCCCTTTGTAATGAATAAAATAGCAAAGCAGAAAACAAAATGGTCTGTATATGTGTCCCTTCCTTTCAAGTCACAAACTCGTGATGGATTGCTTATGCCTTCAGCAAATTCCGGGTGGGGACGGAATTTTAGACCAGACTTAGTTTTGTTTGTAAACATTTTTTTTAAAGAGGGAAATTTTTGGAATCTTAAAGCTCAAGAAATGTAAGTCCCTGTGCTGACTTTCAGATTGGATCAGGGTGTTGCTAGACCAGCAATGCTCAACTCTTGTCCCAGGTAAAAGTCCTGGAGCTGGGCTAGCCATGTTCTGAGGACTGGCTCCCTTTTTGTGCCTAACTTCAGTGATAGAGAAGCTCCCTGCTTCATGCCACTTCACTGTCTCCGACTCTTTAAAAGTCCTGATGCTAATTCTGGTGTTTGATGCTAATCAGAGCTACCTAGCTCACTGTTTCAGAACACTTTCCTCATGTTTGAGAATTTGACAATGTAGTATTATATCTGGGCTTCACCAGGCTGGAAAGGTCCCAGCTCTTGAGAAAAAAAAAAGCCATATAGGCTTGCTTTCTAGTCTTCTTCCATCAGCGTCCTCTTTTTGGGTTGGTGTTTGTATAGCTGAGACTGCTAGCTGCCCACTGAAGTTCATGGCTTGGCGTTTTCCCTGGGAGGAAGCTGCAATGCCAAGGGCCAAGTTTGCCATCCTCTGCAGCATGCAGATGTTGTCAGGAACTTAGTTCTTGCCAGTGGATGGTGAGTGAATAATATGTGTCAGCTTTGGGCCAGGCCTAAAGGAGCCAGACTGTTTTCTCCAGGATCTCCTTCCCCTTCCACCAGCTCCAGGCAAATAACGTGGAGGCCCCAGGGCATTGCAGAAACACAGGGTAGGAGCATCCTGTGTGCATGAGTCAGACACGGAGAAAAGCTGCCCACCTTGGGCTATGGCATGGAAGAAAAAGAAGCTTGTATTTGACCTGTTGTTGATGTGGGGGTCTATTTGTTACTACAGCTCTGGAAATAGCAAACCTTTTCTTAAGTAGCCAGAGAGTAAATATTTTAGGCTTTGCCATATTGTGGCAGCTATTCAACTGTGCTATTATTATAGCATGAAAGTGGCCATAGATAATACATAAGTGAGTAAATGTGAGTTTTATAAATTAAACTTTATAAAAACAGCAGTGGGACAGATTTGGCCTGCTGGCTATAGTTTCCAACATCTGCTATACCCAGTGCACTTCTAAATAATAACTTCTATAGTACTGTAACTGGGATCTATTAGATATGATACAGAGGGCAGACGCTACCAGTAGATCTATCCTATTGGGCTATAGTAACAAATAGACTCAAATTTATAACAAGTGCTCATCAATGAATGAATGAATGAATGAATGAATGAATGAATATACAAAATATGGTGTGTGTGTATATATATAGACACCCAAAATGGAATTTTATTCAGCCTTGAAGGAAATTCTGACACGTGCTACAACATGGTTGAACCTTGAGGACATTATGCTAAGTGAAATAAGCCAGTCATGAAAGGACAGTACAAGTGTTTGATTCCACTCATATGAGATATTTAGTCAAATTCATAGAGACAGAAAGTGGAATGGTGGTAACCAGGGGCTGAGGAGACGGGGTATGGGGAATTATTGTTTAATGGGCAGAGTTTGTTTTGCAAGATGAAAAAATTCTGAAAATGTATGGTGGTGATGGTTGCACAATAATGTATGAAATACCATTCACTATATAATTAAAGATGTTAAGATGGTACATTTTATGTTATGTGTATTTTAAACAAAGAAAAAATCTAGGGAATTATAAAGATCAAATTCAGAATAGTGGTGAGCTCTAGGGACAGAGGGGGATAAATTTGATTATAAAGGAATAGAAAGGGGCCTCACCTCTGTGCAATATTCATTTTTTAAAAAATAAGGTTCATCAAAATTTAAAATGTGCTTCAAAGGACACCACAAGCAACTGAAAAGATAACCCACGGAATAGGAGAAAACATTTGCAAATTATATTTCTGGTAAGGCATTTGTATCCACAATATATAAAGGACTCTTAACAGTGCAACAACAAAAAGACGACCTATTTTTTTCAAATGGCAAAGGGTTTGAACAGACATTTCTCCATAGAAGATATACAACTGGCCAAAAAATACATGAAAAGGGGCTCAACATCATTTGCCATTAGGAAAATGCAAAACAAACCCAAGGGAGATACCACTTATCATCTGCTAGGATGGCTAGAGTGAAATAGATGATAACAAGTGTTGGCAAGGATGTGGAGAGGTTAGAATCCTCATATGTTGCTGGTAGGATTACAAAATGTTGCAGTCACTTTTTAAATGTTTGGAAGTTCTTCAACATGCTTAATAAAGAGTTACCATATGATTCAGTAATTCCACTTCTAAGTAGATGTCCAAGAGAATTAAAGACACACAAGTTGGGAGGGTAATAATTGAGAGTGAGAGTACAAGAATTTTTAAATGCTTTCTGGAAATAAGATAAAAGTCCCAATTAATAGCAGTGTTGATAAGGAGTAGCATTGTAATCTCTAGGTTAATTGCTAAAAGAATATTAAACAAGTGTACAGCTTCCAAGCAAAGAGGGAAAATACTGGAATAATATATAATAATGATCCAAAAAAAGAGAAAAAAGGAACAAAGAAGAAGCGGAAAAGGAAACACTTACTGAAATGATAGATTTAAATCCAAATATAGCAGTAATTCTATTAAATGTAAGTGGGTTAAATATTCCTGTTAATCTGTAGAGGTCATATAACAATTTAAAAAATCTCAACTGTTTTTGAAAGATACATTAAAACATAAGGGCACAGAAAGTACAGCAAGAATAGATAAAGATACTTTCTGCACAAATCAAAGACAGTTGATGTTATATTAATATTAGACCACGTGTACTATAAAACAAAAAATATTTGAGATAAAGGTGAACATAAGTGTTCAATTCAGGTTCAATTCATCTGGAAGACACAATAATTCTGTTTTTATGTAGTTGTTACTTTAGCCTCAAAATACAAAAAGAAAAATCAACAAATTAGTCAAATTTATGTCTCACAGTGACCAAGAGTTCAAATAGACAATTTATAAGGGTACAGAAGCTTTGAATAACATGATTAGAAAACTTAGAACAAGACACACAACCACTACAGAATACACCCCCCCACACACACATACACACGGCATTTACAAATGACCATATACTTGAGCCATAAAATTTCAAAGGATTTAACTTTTACAGAATATATTGTTTGACCACAATGCAATTAAGATATAAATAATAAAAAGAAAACTAGAATTTTCCTATTTTGGAAATTAAGAAAAACTTCTAAATAACTAATAGAGAATAAACTACAAAATAATTAGAAGCTATTGTAATGAAAAATATGGATTCAGCTAGAGCTAGAATCAGCGCTTGTCATTCAAGCCATGTCCCATCCCCGTCTCCTGGATCTCTTGAGGTTGGGCGTTGACTGCCTAGGTCTTCGTGGCTCTTGGAAACTGGGTCTGGGATGGAGGGAGGGTGGAGACAAGGCTTTTCTCCTAGCAGAGGAAGGTCTAGAGAAAAGGATCGGGAGTAGTCTAGGAGACTGATTTTCACAGATGTTGCAAAAGGAATTGACTCAATTTAGCTCTCATCAGCAATGCTTAGTGTCTATTTGCCTACATTCACGCAAATATATGTGTTATCTCATTTCAGAGGTTTGTTTTTGTTTTTTTCTAAAAACAAAAACAAAAACAACAAAACAAAAAAACCCAGGCTGCAGTGCAGTGGTTTAATGACAGCTCACTGTAGCTTCAGCCTCGACCTAAGTGATCCTCACCTCAGCCTCCTGAGTAGCTAGGACTAAAGGCACGTGCCACCACACCTAGCTATTTTTAAATTTTTATTTGTAGACATTATATTGCACAGGATGGTCTCTAAATTCCTGGGCTTAAGCTATTTTCCTTCTTACCTTGGCTTCCCCAAGTGTTGGGATTACAGATGTGAGCCAATGCACCGGCCTCATTTGTGGATTTCAATACCTTGGAGAGGGGACAATGGCCATTCCTGTGGCTGTGATCTGAGTTTCTTTTGTTATGAGCGAGGTTGAATCTTTGCGAGTTTACCTAAGCATGTACTTAAGAAGCCGTGTGGCGGGGCCCCACTCTCCTGTACACCTGGCTGTCAGATGTCCAACACTTCTTTACCCTCTGGTCCCTGAGGGGCACACTTACTCCTTGCCCACGGTTCAGAGTGCTTTGCAGGGTGACATCCCTCTAGCGGCTTCTAACCACCTTTGCTGCATATGTTTTCAATTTGTAGAGTAGAGCAGATCGTAGCACAACAAAACAGCTGCCCTCTCTGAGGCTCGAACTCAGGACCTTCAGATTATGAGACTGACGCGCTGCCCACTGCGCTAAGAGGGCTCCCACATAGTTCAGCTTTCTTCCTCTCATAAGAAAATATCTGCAGCACCTTCCGCTCGCTAAGTCGCTTCTGCACGGTCGGGCTCTGCAGGCAGAAGCCCCTGGTCTCCCCCCGCGGGGACACGTGGGAGGCTCTCTCGCGGGAACAGAGCGGCCTGGGCTCAGGGAACCAGCCCCGCGCCGGGAAGAAAGCTGCCTGCCGGGAGCGCATCCTCGTGAGGATCCGGAACCCGAGCCGCCGAGGCTCACCCAGAGGCGGTGGGGCCCTGGGGTGCGTGTGGGACGCCCGGCGCGCAGACTCTGGGCACGGCCAGGTGGGGACAAGCTCCGAGGCATGACAGGGCGGGGCGCCGGGGAAGCAGAGGACCTGCGGCTGGGTCTGGTGCAAGCGGTGGGGGTGGCGAGGACCGGCTCGCAGGGGAGAAGAGGCTGCAAGGGGCGCCCCCAGTTGGGGTCCTTAGTTTCCAGGGCGACGGCCGCTTGAGTGGGTCGCGTGACTAACAGTTGCAGGGTCGCAGAGTGGACTGAGGCTGGAGCGTGCGACGCCGGCCGCGGGTGGGCGACAGGGGCGACCCCGGAGCCAGGGGTGCCTAGGGCCCTGGGGAGCAGGCGAGCAGGCGCGCGTGGGAGAAGGAAAGCAGGAGGGCGGAGAAGGGGTCTGGGGTGTGACATCGCCAGGCCCAGACCCTGGGGTCGGGTTGAGGGTGAGGTGGAAGAAGGGAGGGAAGATTCCAGAAGATTCCAGAATGTGAATTCAATCGGAAAATGGAGGGAAGAAATTATGGTTGTCTTGGACTTGCCAGTTCATTTGTTTATTGCATCCTGCCTCCCGGGTTCCAGTGGTACTTGTGCCTCAGCCTCCCAAGTAGCTGAGATTACAGTTACGTGCCACTACCAGCCCCTGCTAATTTTTGTATTTTTAGTAGAGATGGCCTTTCACCATGTTGTCCAGGCTGGTCTCGAACTCCTGACCTCAGGTAATCTGCCTGCCTCAGCCTCCCAAAGTGCTGGGATTACAGGCGTGAGCCACCATGCCCAGCCTTTTTAAATTTTGTGAGACAGGGTCTCACTCTGTCACCCAAGCAGGAGTGCAGTGGCATGATCTTAGCTCGCTGCTGCTTCAAACTTCTGGGCATAAGTGATCCTCCTGCCTCAGCCTCCCTAGTAGATGGGACTACAAGTGCATGACACCACACCCAACTAACTTTTTTTTTTGTAGAGATGGGGGTTTCGCTTTGTTGCCCAGGCTGGTCTCAAACTCCTAGACCCAAGCAATCCTCCTGCCTTGGCCTCCAAAGTGCTGGGACTACAGGTGTGAGCCACCGAATTGGGCTCCTCTCTTGCTAGTGCCCCACTGTGGAATCTTCGGGACCCTGTTGGTGAGGTCATATCAGGGGTCCAGTATACACAAGGGAATTTTTCCTCTCACTGCATGGCTGAAATCATTGACTCACTGAAGACCTACAGATTCAAGTTCCAGGAAGTCTCTAAAAAAAAGAAGAAACAAGGAAGGAAGGAAGGAAGGAAGGGAGGGAAGAAGGGAGGGAAGAGCAGGCTGAGTACCATGGCTTTTGCCTGTAATCTCAGCCCTTTGAGACCCCCTGTCTCTACAAAAAATTTTTTAATTAGCCAGGTGTGGTGGCGTGCACCTGTGTTCCAACTACTCTGGAGAATGGTGGGAAAATCACTGAAACCCAGGAGGTGGAGGATGTGGTGAACTGAGATGGTGCCACTGTACTCTAGCCTGGGTGATATAAAATAAAATATATAAAGTAAAATAAATAAAATAATAAAATATAGGAGAACCTCCTGGGGTAGGTCACTAAATCCACCATCATGCAGAGTGAAGCCGCCCGGGTCTCTGGTAGGGTTGTCTGCAATTTCTGGCCCTTCCTCCAGGGGAAGCCTTGCATTGCATCTTACACCCCAATATATGGCAATGGATGCAAAGGGCCCTGCATGGGAGACCTGGGCTGGATGTGTGACCTTGAGAATGTCTCTTCCGTCTTTGGGTTTGTTTGTCCTCCATGAAATGATGGGGTCAGTCCTGTGCACAGTTGTTGGAGTAATCTGTTCCTCCCCAGGTCTGTCATGCTTGGCTATGTGACCTTTGACAAGTGTCTTAACCTCTCTGTTCCCATAAAACAGTGATCATACCTGAATCTACTTCACTAGGCTGCTGGAGGGAAATTATATTGTAGAGTGCACAGAATGTGCCTAGCACAGGAAGGCAGTGCATCACTGATTGTCACTGATCACTGACTTGCAGCCACTTAGAGCTGGAGGATCCCTCCTGGCCTGACTGAGCCCTCTCTCCTCACCACGTGGTGTGGAGTGAGTCCAGTTATTCTCAAGAACCCCTGCTAGGAAGTAGGAGTGGCTTCCAGAGCTGCCAAATTTTAGGCCAGTCTGTTATATTCCCCTAGTTCCCACCGGGATAGCTGAGGAATGCCTGCTACTCACCCACAACAAAAGGATTTATTTACAGTGTAAAACTTATCATACACTTCTTTTTCTTGAAGTGAACATAACCTCAAGATTTTTATTGTCTTCATCATAAGACAAAAGGTGAAATTTCGAACTGAATCACTTGGCCCTTTCTCTTATCTCCTCCCAGTTCAAAATGCTTGCGTCTCTTCATAGACATCAGCGACTTAGATCTGCAGCTGGGCTCAGCGCTCAAGCCTTGGCACCATCTCCTTTGTAGTTTTAGCCTTTTTCTGAAAAATCGGGTTGCTCACAGAAATCAATGGCCTTTAGATACACAAACAATACTTAGGTTAGAGGACTTAAGAAAATCCCATGTTTAATAGCAACAAGGAAGATTAAAAACTTAATAAGAAATGTGCAGCCGGGCACGGTGACTCACGCCTGTAATCCCAGCACTTTGGGAGGCCGAGGCCGGTGGATCACGAGGTCAAGAGATCGAGACCATCCTGGTTAACATGGTGAAACACCGTCTCTACTAAAAATACAAAAATTAGCTGGGTATGGTGGTGAGAGCCTGTAGTCCCAGCTACTCCGGATGCTGAGGCAGGAGAATTGCTTGAACCCAGGAAGCGGAGGTTGCGGTGAGCCGAGATCGCGCCATTGCACACTCCAGCCTGGGCAACAAGAGTGAAACTTTGTCTCAAAAAAAAAAAAAAAAGAAAAGAAATGTGCTAAATCTAAAAAAGGAAAATTTTACAATACTTCTGGAAAATGGAAAAGCAGGCAGAGTGGGAAAACATCCCTTGTTTTTTGTGATCACAACTCAACATCAAGAAGCCCATTCTCCTGAAGTTGACTAACAAATTGAATGCCATTCCTATAAAAATACCAACACGCTTTGTTTCTGGAGTTGATAAGTTGATACTAAAGTTTGTATGGGAAATGCACATGCTGGAATGGCCAGGGAAAAACTGACACAAAATGGGGGTCTAGCCCCACAGGCTATTAAAGCAAACTATAAAGTCTCTGTAATTAGAACAGTGTGGCATTGGCCACATGAACAGGCAGACAGACCAGTGGAATAAAATAGAAAGTGCAGAATAGACCTAAGTACAAATGGAAATTTAGTGTATGATAAAGGTGGTATGTCACATCTCAGAGGCAATGATGGACTATTTATTTATTTATTTAGTTTTTGAGATGGAGTCTCACTTTGTTGCCCAGCCTGGAGGGCAGTGGTGCAATCTTGGCTCACTGCAACGTCTATCTCCTGGGCTTAAGCGATTCTCATGCCTCAGCCTCCGAAGTACCTGGGATTACCAGTGTGCACCACCACACTTGGCTAATTTTTGTGTAGGTACATATACATACATACATACATACATATATATATATGTAATTTTTGTGTAGGTACATAGATGTATATATACATATATACGTATATGTATGTATTTTTTTTTTTTTGGGTAGAGATGGGGTTTCATCATGTTGGCCAGGCTGATCTCAAACTCCTGGCCTCAAGTGATCTGCTCACCTCGGCTCCCAAAGTGCTGGGATTACAGGCATGAGCCACTGTGCTTTGCCCAGGCTTTTTAAACATATGCCAGTTACTGGAGGAGCAGTTGGTGGGGTGGAATGTTGGGGAGTGAACAATCTAGGGCAGTTGGAAGTGGCTCTGAGCAGGCAAGACCACTGGCAGATGAGGCGGCTGTTGAAGAGGGATGGGTCAAGTGATGGAGGGTAGCACTGTGAGCTGAAATAGGTGAATTGGGAGGGGATGCTGGCAAGAGAACAGGTAAGTCCTGCTCTTACTGTGATGGGGCTGGGAGAGGCATCTGAGCACAGATTCCTGCCCTCCAGGATAGGTACTGGGATAATGGGGTACTCTGTTTTTGAAAAAGAAAAAATTAGATCCATTGTTCACAGCATATTTAATGATAAACTCAAATGGATCATGAATTTAAATATAAAAAATGAAAACATGTAAGTACTAGGGGGGAAAGGTCCATGGGTGAGTTCCTCTTAACTTCAGTGTAAGGAAATGATTTGAAAGCATCACTCAGAATCCAGAAGCAATGAAATAAAAGACTGGAAAATTGAACATGGCAAAAAACAAAACAAAACCCCAAACCACAAAACACCAAAATAACTGAAAAATTGAGAGAAAATATTTGTAACACATACTACAGACAAAAGGCTAATATCCTTAACATATAGAGAACTCTTAAAAATTCATGAACAGTGGATGAAATACTCAACAGAAAAATGAGAAAAGACTTGGGCAATTCACACATATGTTAAAATGGTCCTCAAACATATACCAGTTACTGGGGCAGTGTTGTGGGGACAAAAATAGACACAGTTCCTTCCCCCAGGGAGTTTCCAGTTCACTGGGAAAGTCACATGCTGGAAACTAACTTGAATAGGGGCAGAGTATGGTTAAAATTCAAGGGGTAGGCTGGGCGTGGTGGCTCATGCCTTGAATCCAAGCACTTTGGAAGCGGAACCAGGAAGACCACTTGAGCCCAGGAGTTTGAGACCAGCCTGGGCAACATAAGAAGACTCCCATCTCTACAAAAAAATTGAAAAATTAGCTAGGTGTGGTGGTGCATGCTTCTAGTACCAGCTACTCAGGGGCCTGACGTGGGAGAATTGTTCAAGCCAGGGAGGTTGAGGCTGCAGTGAGCCATGATCGTGCCATTGCACTCCAGGCTGGGTGACAGAGGGAGACCCTATCTCAAAAAATAAAATCAAGTGTGGGGTGGATTTCATCTGAGGAGCCTGTGTGAAGGCGAGGAGGACAGTTGGTGGGGTGGAATGTTGGGGAGTGAACAATCTAAGGCAGTTGGACCTGGCAGTTGAGCAGACACGACCACTGGGTGATGAGGCAGCTGTTGGAGTGGGATGGGTCAAGGGATGGAGGGTAGCACTGTGGGCTGAATTAGGTGAATTGGGCAGGGATGCGAGAGAGAGGTAAGTCCTGTGCTTATTGTGACTGGGGCTGTGAGAAGCACCTGAGGACAGATTCCTGCCCTCCAGGATCCCACCGTCCTGATTGGAAACCAGCAGGGCTTTGATGAACTAGATGTTTGGAGAGAATGAACTTAGTGCTGTAGTGGAGGACCAGGGGCAAGCTTCCCAAGGCTCAGACTAGAGTTGGGGCTGGTTGGGTTTCAGGGAAGACAGACGTCCATGTGGATCCAGCCCACTGGTTCTCTGGACACGTGGCTGTGATGGTCAAAGAAGACCAAGGCTCAGAACAAAGACTTGAGATTTGCTCCCAAAACTGTCAGATAAGGAGTTATGGAAGGAGAGCGTGGCCTGAGGGTCGTGGAGCTGCCAGGGTAGAGTCTTAGGCAGTCTCACATTGGAGGTCACAAGAAAGAGTAGTTAGGAGAGGGGTTCTTGAGCCAATGATCAGATTCAAGTCCCTGTTAATGCTGATGTGCCAGCTCTGCCCTTGAGTTTTCTCATCTTTAAATTGGGGAATGAATCAAACCCATCTCAGTGCATGACTGTAGGACCAAATGAATTCATATATGCAAAGTGTTTTAATATGGGCAAAGCACTCAACAAGCGCTGCTGTTAATTAGGGGGCAAGAAGAGATTGAAGGAGCAACTCAAGGGGCTCCAGAGAATACTAAGAATACTACGATGGTGCAAGTCATGTGTTACATGTAAATTTCAGTGCCACAAAGAAAAGTCAGTACTGGGACAAAGGATCTCTCAGCAAAGCAATTCTTTTTACTTCCTGCAGAAAGGGTATCCTCATTAGCAATCTTGCCATGAGAGTACAACGAACAAAGGAAAAGCTGACATATCTATCCCTTACGCATTTGGGGTTGTCCTTACTGCTGTGTCTGATCTCTGTTGGTTAGAGACAGACCTCGTAATCTAAACTAAAACCCAACTGGCCAACAACTTAAAACTTTTCCGAACAGATAAAAGTGATGGAGAACAAAAAGAAGTCCAAATAAGGAAGGTGCATAGGCTTTGAGTGGGGACAAGCCTGTGAGCACGTCCAGCACAGACACCTTGGTTAAGGTACAAGGGCACAGAATGTACTACGTGCCTGTAAGCAAGTCTAACAGCCACATAGACAGGGCTTAACAAAGAGCTACTAGCAGAAAGCAAGAAGGCTTTCTGTTATTTCTAATACTTACGATTTTTCTTACATAAGAAAGGAAACTTTGAAGAGGAACTTTTCTACTGCCTGCATCATGGACGTCCTGGGAAAAGCAGGTAGAATGGAGTCACCATGACATTGAGCTGGATGCTAGGTAGGTAACATGAATTACCACAGGTGAGTCTCACTGTAATCTGTGGAGGGAATTTCTATGGCTATCCCCACCCCACAGTGTAATGAACTCAAGGTCACAAGAGTATGACCCGCTTTTCCTGTTCTGATCTGGACCTTAAGTTTTATTTATTTATTATTTTCCTTTTTTGGAGATGGGGTCTTGTTCTGTCACCCAGGCCAGAGTGCAGTGGTGCGATCCTGACTTACTGGTGTCTCCCAGGCTCAAGCAGTCCTCCCACCTCAGTCTCCCAAGTATCTGTGACTACAGGCATATGCCACCACACATGGAGATATATATATGTGCATATATATTAGTATATTTGTATTTTTTGTAGAGACAGGGTTTCACTAGGTTGCCCAGGCTGGTCTCAAACTCCTGGTCTCAAGTGATCCACCCACTTCTGCCTCTCAAAGTGTTGGGATTACAGGTGTGAGCCACCACGCCCAGCCTAGACCTTGAGAATGAAATAGCCCTTTGGGGTAAAGGCTGGTCTCCCTCAGAGATGGTTGTTTGCAGGCACCTTCCAAGGGCTAATGCTCTGGCCAAGGCTGGTGCCTTTGAGATGGATGATCCTCGAGCCACGTCCTCAGTCAGCCCTCAGGATGAGGGTTCCTGTAGCCTCTCTCTTCATTGCGTCACCTCCAAAACACGACAGGATTGATGCCGGAAGGTCTTTCCAAGGCCCAGACTCCTCCCCTGGCTCAATCCATGACTCTCTGTGGCCTCCAGCCCAGGGTCTGAATTGGCTCTACCTGGCCCGTGTTCTGACTGCTTTTAGGGTCTGGTCTGTGCCCTGAGGCCCTGTCCCATCTCAGCTTTATCTCCCACAACTGCCCAGCCTGTACCGATGCCCTGGTCCTGTGGATTCTTTCTTGCCTATCAACACCCTACATTCATCTTGGTCTTTTGGTCTGAAATGCAGCCCCTCCCTCCACCAGCCCCTGAAACCTAAGCCGCCCTCCTCCTGCAGCCCCCAGACTGCAGGAAGTCTTTCCAGGTTTCAAATCCAAACTGGTCTTTTTCTCCCTTCTCTGTTTTCCTAGACTTGGAGATGGATCTAGTACATGACTCAAAGTAAGAGGTTGTGTTTGGCTGATACCACCTGTGTCTGTCTGGAGTCAGCTATGAGGGTAGAAGCTCCTTGAGCCAGGAATGCTACTATGTAAGTCAACCCTGGCATCCCCACAGCACATGTGCTAACAGGGAAATTCAAAGAGCCCACCAAACTCCTGCCACCATTTCTCACCCTCTTGTGCCCAGGTCCACCTCTGGGTTGGAGGAGCAGGGTGCTGTGGGAGAGGGAGCAGTGGTCCTGGAGTCAGGGTCTTCAGGTCTGTGCCATTCCACTGAATACACAGCCAGTGACCTTGGATGAGGGTCTCCTCCCTTGGGGCTTTAACCTCTGCATCCAGAGTGTAGATGTGGCATTGGGCCAGGACTTCCCAAAGGCCTTTTTGGTAACTAAGACCGTAAGTTCTTCGACTTTTAATGTGCATATGAATTCCCTGGAAAATCTGTTAAATTTCAGATTCTGATTCAGTAGGTTTGCAGGAGGTCCTCATTTCTAACAGGCTCTCAGACGGCCTTGATGCCGGTGGTCCACGAGCCATGCTTTGCAGTAACAAGGGTCTAGACCAGTGGTCCTCAGCCCTAGCCTGGTAGAAGAGTGGCCCTAAAGGTCACTCTTCCCTCCTCCACTCCCTTCTCCATTTTAAATTAGAGTTTCCCTGGGGAGATTTTTAAAAGATGTTAGGGGTCGGGCGCAGTGGCTCAAGCCTGTAATCTCATCACTTTGGGAGGCCGAGGCGGGCAGATCATGAGGTCAAGAGATTGAGACCATCCTGGCCAACATGGTGAAACTCCGTCTCTACTAAGAATACAAAAATTAGCTGGGCGTGGTGGCGTGCGCCTGTAGTCCCAGCTACTCGGGAGACTGAGGAAGGAGAATTGCTTGAACCCGGGAGGCGGAGGTTGCAGTGAGCTGAGATCGTGCCACTGCACTCCAGCCTGGCGCCTGGCAACAGAGTGAGACTCTGTCTCAAAAAAAAAAAAAAAAAAGATGTTATGATGGCACCCCGAGGCCATTGAACCAGAATTTGTAGGGGTGAGAACTTGGTGTTGGTAGCGTTTAAAGCTCCCCAGGTGAATCCTGTGTGCCGCCTGGACTGGGAACTGCTACACCTCGTGGATGGAGAACTTCAGCAAATAGTTTTCAGGCGATGCTTTTTGTCTCTGCTGCCCCCTTGTGGCTATCTCGTTCACCAACAGTCAGATCTCAAGCCCTTTTCTCTAGAGAGATGGGAATCGCAGAACGATTAGAAAAATAATGCCGCTGCCTATGGTGGAGAGGCCTCCCTGAGACCCCAGCACCCACCGTGCCATGGGCGGGCTCCTCCTCTGCCCTGATGCTGAAGACGATTCCTTAAACAAGGGCCTCGTTCCCAGTGTTCTGGGGGTAGCCCACATGAATAGGGAAAACTCTGGGTGGGGCAGGAATACACAACAGCAGGGGGCCCTGCAGCCGGCAGCTGAGACAGAGGTTGGATAGAGCAGGTCCAGGAGAAACTTCCTAGGAGAAGGTGTGCCCTGAACCCAACCCTCAGCTCCCCAGGGCGGGAGCCACAAGAAGTCTTAGATGCAGACGTGAGGTTTGGGTTGCTTGGCGGTGAGCCAGCAGGGGGCACTCTGGCGCCACATAGAGTTCCCAGGTCGGGTTTCCTAGTCTTCGCCCTCTTGACTGGGAACTGTCCACCTCGGTGCAGGATGCCCCAGGTGCAATGCGGCAGCTCAGAGGCCCTGGGTGTGGCTGTCTGCAGCTGGCTGGCTTCCCTCTGTGCCAGGTGCAGGGCCAAAGAGACCCCCATGCATACAGCCTGCTGTCCGTGGGATGAGGAGTAGGAAGGTTCTGATGCTGCTGCCCATTCAGAAATGCAAAGTGGCCCAGTCCATGAGCACAGGTCTCCTCCCTGCTGTGCCCTGACTGCTGTATGATCTCGACACATTCATCTCACCTCTGTGGGCCTGCTTATTTATCCCTTATCCAATGCATCCCCCAAGGCATCCTGGGCTGTGGTGCTGCTCTCCAGGCAACAGGGAGTTGGACTCATGGTTATTGGGGCTCACGTTGCCCTTAGGGGGCCAGAGTCAAGGGAATCAATTTTTTTTTTTTTTTTTTTTTTTTTTACTTCTGCTGTAGGGCCTGGTTCTGGGATAGACTTTTCCCATCCTCTTCCCAAAAGCCACCCTTGTACAATCATGGGATTGAGATTCAGCCCAGGAAAGGAGAGAGGGCCCTTCTAAGAGATTGATCCTGAATAGGGCTCAGCTAGGGACAGGAAGATCTCTTTTCTAGCCAAGCTCTAATCCCAGCACTTGGGAGGCTGACGTGGGAGGATCACTTGAGATCAGCCTGGCCAACATGGTGAAACCCCATCTCTACTAAAAATACAAAAAGAATTAGCTGGACGTGGTGGTGCATGCCTATAGTCCCAACTACTTGGGAAACTGAGGCAGGAGAATCACTTGAGCCTGGGAAGTGGAGGTTGCAGTGAGCCAAGATCGCGCCACTGTACTCCAACCAGTCTCAAAAAGACAAAAACAAAAACAAAAAAAACTCTCCCCAAATCCCTTTTCTGTTAGTTGACAAATGCACTAGACATTAGGACACATTAGTACTGGCTACATGACTGCCCTGTGTGAAAAATATCCAGAGATGGGTGCACGTTGGAGTTGAATGGGGTTTGTCCCGGGGAGAGAAGGGACTCAAAGGAACAGCAAGGGGGTTGGGGAGCTTAGCTTTAAAATAATGTTTTGGCCAGGTGTGGTGGCTCATGCCTGTAATCCCAGCACTTTGGGAGGCTAAGGCAGGTGGATCACTTGAGGTCAGGAGTTTGAAACCAGCCTGGCCAACATAGTGAAATTCTATCTCTACTAAAAATATAAAAATTATCCTGGGCATGGTGGTGCATGCCTGTAATCCCAGCTACTCGGGAGGCTGAGGCATGAGAATGGCTTGAACACAGGAGGCAGAGATTGCAGTGAGTGGAGATGATGCCACTGCATTCCAGCCTGGGTGATAGAGACAGTCTCAAATAATAATAATGTTTTACTCAGTAAAAAAAATTGGTGTACCTATGGCAAATGGCACCTACTAAATCTGGTTGGCTGTTGTTTTCTGAAACACAGATTTTAGACTCGAATATGTGTATTTGCAAACTTGAAGACACATGCACCACTGAATGCAGTCTAGTGGAATGCAGTTTCTTGATTGCCACCGGCTTCCGACAGAGTTGCAGGTGTTGTGTTGGGTGGTTTTCAATAGCAATCAGACCAAAAGGGTGACTACTAGGATGTGAAGACAGAGGATGAGCTTCCTGGGGTCAAGTTTCTGAGCTGGGAGTCAGTCCTAGGCCATAGTGTCCAGCCAGAGGAGGACAGCAAGCTCGACTCCTGCATGACCACTAGCTCACCTGGTCCAAATGCAGCCTCTGGCTACGAAACAAAGGCAGAGAGAGACAGGGAACCGGAAAGAGGTTCAATGGAGGAAAAATGATGCAACCTCAGGGATTCACTTTACTCTCATTTCATTAAGTTCCAGATATTGGCAGACTGCTGGCCTCCCGAGGACCACAGGAAGGGGCCCGGCAGACTGGTAGTAAAGGTCAGAAATGGAGAGTGTCTGATTAAGAGGAGCTGACCGACGCCAAGAGGAGCTGACCGACGCCTGCAGGTTTCCTCCCCAAGAGCGGCGAGCCTGTCAGAGCTGCACCTGGGCCTTTCTGTACCTGGGAGAGAGTTTGGGCATGATTGGCTTCCCACAAACATGTGGGGCTTGAGGAGTGCACTGACTCTTTTCCACGACTGATGTCATCCACATCCGTGCCTGTGCATCTGGCCAGGAGAGTGACTGTCAGTGTTGAGGGCAGTGTGATATGGCTGGCTAGATGCTTCTGATGGTTTCTCTCGAGCTCAGCCTTTGCACGTCATCTGTGTGAGCCAGAGGGAAAGCTAGGGTGGAGATGGACCATCCTGGGTAAGCTGGGATCCCACTGTGAGATTTCACACCATGGGGTGTCAGAACCTGTAGTGCTGGTGGCAGCTGTGGCGGGGGTGGGGTGGCATTCCTGTCCTTTGCCACTCATTGGCTGTGCCACCTTGGAAAAGTTAGCTAAACCCCTTGGTGCCTCAATCTTCTTTGTCCCATGGCAATCTGAGTAGTCCAGACCTGGATGGATGACTCTGAGGTTTCGATGAGGTCATATATGCAAAAAGTTTTTCTGCAGCAGCATTCTTTTTATTTAAAAAGATTTTTCAAAATGGGAATTCTTACAAAAAGGAGTACCTGACCTCAATATCTTTGGGCGTCTGGGATTGAGGGGTGTTCCTGAGTGGGCATCAGGGATTGATGAACCCTTGTGTAATAGTTCAAGAGGAAAGAAACATGAAATGCAGCTTTAACAGTTAAAGACAGATTTACTTTAGATAAAACCTAAGAGGGGGCTCTGGCTGATTTTGGACAGGAGTGCTTTCTCTTACAGACTAAGAGTACATACTGGTTTGGGGATGAGGGGCTTTTCACAAGCTTGGAATGTTTCTGGGTTGGGGAGAAGTTTATGGCAGGGTTGGAGTGTTTCTGGGCAGAGGGGAGGTTATCTTGGGGCGATCTTCCCAGCTGGAGTGGGGTTATCTTGGGTCTAGCGTGTCTGTGGTTGCGGAGGAGTTTGGAATGTTTCTGGTCGGAGATGTTATTTGTGGTTTATGACCATGGTGACCTTAGCCATTAGGCTGATGCCCTTTGGCTTTAGGTGGTTTTTGATTAAGGTGGATTTTAAAATGAGGTTCTAGTCCACGACGGCGAGGCTCCCGCTCTATCACCTTGCCCCCCTAAATTGCAAAGCTTTGTTTTTGTGTATGCATATATAAATTTTTTTTCCCCTAGGAGCAAAGGCAATAGTTTAACTAAGATGCTCAGAGGGGTCATGACGTAAAGATTGGATGCCTGGGGCGAGGGGTGTTTCAAGTGCCTTTATTTTAGACCAGAGCTTCTCACCCTGAGGAATATTGCCATTTGGGGCCGAATCATTCCTTGTTGTTGCAGACTGACTTGTGCATTGCAGGATGAGTAGCAGCATCTCTGGCTCTACCCACAAGACACCAGTAGCACCCTCCACTCCATCCCCACCTTAGTTTTGCCGATAAAAAATGTCTTCAGACATTGTCCAATGTCTCTGGGGAGGTGCTGGGGGGGAAAAATTGCCCCAACTGAGAACTGCTACTTTGTAATGTTCTGAGTTGGAGTGAGCCCTCGATAAGTGGTTATTATTTGCTGTGTTGAAGTTTGGCAAGGTTTCTCTTCTGGACATTGTCGATCTCCTCCTATTTCTGTGTACTGCTTAAAGGACCCAGAGCAATCCTGGGAAAGTTGACAACTACAGCTCTTCCAAACTCCAGCCCCATTGGATATATAAACTCTATCCTCTCATTGGTTGAGGCAGCCCGATCAACTGGAACTTGGTTCTTACTGTGTTTCTCCTTATGCAAGCCTGAAGGATCCCAGCCTGGGCAACATGGTGAGACCCTGTCTCTACAAAGAAAAAAAAGAGAGAGAGAGAGAGAAAAGAAAATTCAGCAGGGTGTGGTGGCACATGCTTGTAGTTCCAGCTACACAGGAAGCTGAGGTAGGAGGATCACTTGATGCCAGGAGTTTAAGGTTGCAGAGAGGTATAATTGTGCCATTGCACTCCAGCCTGGGTGACAGAGTGAGACCCTGTCTACACACACACACACACACACCCCCTAAAAGTTTTTGAGAGCATAAAGTGCAACATAAATCTTTCAGTCCTTTACCATTAGTTAAAATACGAGCTACAATTAAATGAAACGGTTTTGTGGGGAGCAAGATCTTGAGGTAGTCTTCATTTGTGGTGAATACATTTCTGTTTAACCACGAGCCTCAGTAGTTTCTCTCTCTGAGTAGTTCCTCATTCAGGGGAAAGATTGGAGAAGGTTCTAATGAGGAAGGACCAGCAGGAGACAGAGGTGGAAGAAAAGTTGGATGCATTTGAAGTCTCCATTATTTAGGAGGTGGCCTAAGATCCTGGGGAGCAGGGTGGGCACCTCCTTTTGGCACCCTGGATGTGAGGAAGGTCTCCAACACCGTTTTGGCTGCTGCTCTGTTGTCGCATCCTCCATGGATGGTTCGGTCCTTCTCTTGTTGGGCTTCTTGTATAACTGCTCTAAAAACCTCCCCAGGAATTCCATACAACCCGTGGAAGTGTTGCTGAGTAGGAGTGAGGAATCTTTCTTCAGATCTTTGAGAATCTTTGTTTCTGGGTGATTCCAGAGCTTGCTTTGGGGCAGCCCTTCATTCACAAGTTTAGCAGCAGCGTAATTGCTCCATGCTGAGGTTTCCCAGGAATGGCACAGAGCACCAGAAGCAAGCTTTGGAAACACAGCTGGCGCAAAGGAGTGACTCTATGCCTTGGTGTAGGGAAGCAGGTTCTAGCTTTTGCCCTGAGTTGGTTGACGGCCCCAGGTATCACACAGAGTATCTTTCTATTACAAGAATCAGCATGGAGTTGAATTCTAGGAGAAATGTCTCAGTGGTATTGGGTGCGGCCATTGGAGCCTCCTTTCCGGTCATGCAGACCTGGCTGTCATTTGGGCACACAGCTGGTCCTGTGAACTTGGTGCTTAAGATTCCAATTAGCACCTTGTGATACCATGGTTGTGCCACAGAAGAAGGTAACGTGGAGATGAACAGAGCTGTGTGATGTGTGTATACCGTAGAAGTGCTGCTGGCTGTTTCCAAGGCATTGAAGAGGCTCTCTGCAGAGGTGGTTGTTATCCCAGGACTCTGGAAATAATGACGCTCGAACATTGGCTGCCACATGGTATAGACAAAATCAGTGTTGCAGGTCATCGCTGTTATCAGAAATTCTGGTTTCCCATGAGTGTGGTGGCCACAGTGCTGGAGTATCAGATTTGGAGTCAATTGCAAACACGCCTCCAAGAATACATCTCTTAAAGCCAGGCACACTGCAGAGAGGATTGTGGTGTGGATTATCCTAGCAGCGTCGAGTCCTCTCATTTGCTGTATATATAGACAGCATAGCCAATGTTGGAGCACGTCCAGCCTCCACAGGTGGGGCCCCAATCTTCTAAATCTAACTCAGGAGAGCCAGGGAGGGATGCTGAAGAGCTGATGATTGGGCTGACCCTGGATTGACCTCCTTTGGAAATCATGGAAACTATGGGCAGCCTGTGACAACCAGCTCTTTAGGAGAGTGGGTTTCTTGCATGTATTGGTAGGGCCTCAGCTGTAGGTAATAGGAGGTAGGTACCGCACTGGAGGCCTCAGATGGCCCTAGGAACTAGTCTTGATGCCTTCTGTCTACACTAGGCTCTTCTAGGAAGAAGAGAAAGACCCCACAGGTTTGCTCATTGTGGTTGGCAGGGTGGTTGGGGGGGACCTCACCTGCTACAGGGCTGGGCCAGAACTCTAGGGGTCGAGGGTATCTTCTGGGAAGTCTCTGATGACTGTTGCTTCTCAGGGCTGTTTTGAGGGACACAGTTGGTTGAAGCGCCTTCTTCGGTGTGTTTTCCCTGAAACGTGTCTCCAGTTTGTCCTGAAACATGTCTCAAGTGACTGTGGCATGGAGAGGGGTTCGTGGGTGTTCTCGTTCGGAAAGCAACCTGATAACTGTGCAAGGCCTTTCTTGTGGTTCTCACTTTTTAGCCAGGTCTTGGATTTTCTGGTTGTTTGCTTTCGCTTCCTCAAGCATCACCTGCTCTCACTCCTGCCTGATCCGGTGTCTGTCCGCTGGCAGACTTTTTGCCGATGGCCTTCCTGGAGGCCTGTGAGATTGTACCTTCATTATCCAGATGAGCATTGGTTCAGCCTCCTTCACTGTGATCCTTGCACCGTCTCTCCTGCCCAGCTGACCCAGCCTCTCACTTGGGCCTGGGAGGCTGCATCATTTTAAACTTCCCTCTTTTTTCCTGACTCTGTTTGGACTACTAAACCATGGCTTGCTACAGACCGCGTCCCGAAGGCTGGTGTGAGGTTTCACCTTGAATTTTTGGGAGAGCATTGGCTGTACCCAGGCCTCCCTTGTTCTTCGGGGTATGGTTCCGTGACGCCTCTTTTTTTCATCTGGAAGGGAAGAGGGCTGCCTCTTTTGAACCATGGTGGACAGTATTTTGCCCTGGGTTCATCATGAGTGGGCGCGTCAGACTTTGTTCTTACCCTGAGATTCAACGGCTTTCTAACTTGTGGTGCTTTGGATGCTGGGGAGGGTGAGGCAGGCAGGGTGGGGGCAGTGAGCGATGGCCAATGGCCAATGGCAATGGAAATTGGGATGTTGACCCACCAACTCTGTCTCTCATAGGTTGAGGGACGCTCTGGGTAGGGGGGTTCCCTTTTCCAGGATGTGTGGCCTCCCTGCCCTCTTGAGCCACTGTGGGGATTCACTCAGGGTGGTGGCAAAAGTATTAAGGGAAAAATATTAGAGAAAGTTACAGAAAATAGTCACGAACCTTCTTGGAAGGCCAAGAAGTTTGCGTAGTTTTAGTAGAAGTTTCAGATGAAGGCAGACTAAATCCCCTTTACCTTTAGTTAATAAGAAAAGCAAATAGCTAAGGTACTTGAGGGGTTCGTCTGAATAACTTGTTTCCTCCTGTGGTCTTAAAACTAACCTTTGAGCCAGATGGCCTTCTCAGCGGGAGGTCGACCGAGGGGGCGGGGTTCCCTCTAATGGTGTGGAGGCTCGGAATCTGGCGTGTAATCTTTCTCTACAAGTGTGTTGACTTAAAGTCTCTGTTATTAAATCTATACTGAGTAAATGGGGAGACGGCAGACTAGTCATTGTCACTGAACTGCAACGAGTTAACCTGTGAGGAGCTCACGACCCCCAGCCCACTTGTTCACTGGAAATTTTATCTGAGTGCATTTATTCATTGTCATGCAGCTGGAGTCTTTGGGATGGAGCCTTGCAGTCCATCTCTTTCCCTGCTATACTTTTGCCTGTGTCTCTGCAGCTTCTTAACAATGATTGTGGATGTGCTTTGAAGTGCTTGGTTCTTGATTAAATGTCCTGTCCTCTGAGCAAATATCCTGACTTCAGTGATTTCCCTAAAACCAGAGGTTAAGGAAAGTCACAGCGGAAAGGGAGTCCACAGCAGCCACCTCCTCCAGGATTCCCAGGGCCACCTGGTGAGTGGGGTATCTCTCCCTGAGGTGGTGTCTCTGGGCACAGCTCACACCCTTTCAGCCTCTGCCCTCTGGGTGCCCACAGCAAGCCCTGACCCTCTGTCCTGTCCCCACTGTCCCTGCCTTGGGTGAGAGAGGACAATTGCAGCAGGGCCAGGGGCTCTTGGGATTTAGGGTATAGCTCTGTGGTCAGGCAGGACTCTTCACAAATTTTAAAAACTCATATCAAAAACCTTTGCTTTTCCTTCACCTTGGAGTTCAGTTTGCAATTTCTGTTCAGACGAATTTCAGCAAGTTGTTTGTGGGGGTGGATGAGACTCTGGGTTGCTTTCAGAGCAGTTAGTGATGAGACTGATGATGACCCCTGGTCACGACAGAACACGTTAATGGGTCCCAGGCTGGAGATAAGCTCATGTCTCCACATTCAAGAGGGGGCAGGACTGGTTTCAGGCCCTGAGCTTGGTTCAATGCTCTGCTGCTGTCCTAATGATTAATTGAATAATTAAATGATTATTCATCATTTAATGCTTAATGACTTTTGAAGAAGGGGCCCTGCATCTCTTTTCAGCGCTGGGACTTACAGATCATATCCTTGGTCCCAAAGAGGACAGTCCCAAGGCAGAAGGCTGTCCTGAGCTGATTGCTGCAGGCTGTGAGGTTGGGCTTGAGGAGAGCACCGAGGGGGACGGAGGGGCTTGCTTAGCAAAGGGGTTGGATAGGATGAAGAGGCCAGTGTTTTGGATGAGTTTCTGGAGGGCAGGAGCATTGTGCTTGCTGTGATTATTTGCTGTATCACCAGACCGGGCTCCTGCGTGCATGCGGGGGTTGGGCTGCCTTTGTGCCTCACCGTACCCTCCTGGGTGTGAGGACTTCACAATGCACAGCCTGTACTAACGCTTGAAAAAAAGAAGTTGTCCTATGACTGCTCACGACAAAAAATGTCCTATGAGCAATGTCACAGCCACCGCACTGTATGACAGTGAGGCGTGCTTCTTTGACAAGCAGCAAGTTTCCTGTCCAGAGTGCTGGTTATGCAGAAACCAGGGGAGTTACTTGGTGTTGATGATGAGTGTATCTCTGTTGCTGGCTTAAAGAGATGGAGCCTGTGCCCTTTGGTGCGTGTCAGTGGGACTGGACTCTGTGACTGTTCTGTGCCTGCAAAGAACTTTTTGCCTCGGGCTCCTGGCGCTTCACTGTGGCTTCTTTGTGCATCGCTACTGGGTTTGTTGTTCATCCTTCCCCATCACCCTGGGCATGGGGCTGTTCAGTGCATACACCTTGAACATGTGCCCTTACCCGGATGAGGGTGTGGTGGGTCCCGTCGTCCACTTCTGCCTCCTTCTGCCTGTGTCTGTGCTGATGTCGTGCTTGCCGGTCGGCTGGGTGCTCCCACTCGGGGCCTGCAACTGGCCCAGTCAGTGTTGGTGACCTCTGACTGATCAGTGTGCCCGCCTCACCACCGGCCTTCCCTACCCTTCAGTGCTGCTCCTTAGATGAACTCCCCCTGCTCCTCACCTTGTGTGGGTTTGCTGGAGAAAATCTTCCCAGATGATGCTGGGAGCCCAGGGGAGGGTCTCTGAATGGCCTCCGCTCTGTCCTGGGGAGCTGCAGCTGCAGCAGGGGGACCTGGCGGTTGTTTTTCTGTGGGAGGGAAGGAGGAAGCCTCTGGTGCAGAGGGTGAGTTAAGCATACTCCGCAGTACATGGAAGTTTACGATCAGCGGTCTATGTGAGTTCCCTCTCTTGTTTTATTCCCTTTGAATGAGGTTTTTCCTATGCCTCCCTCTCCCATGGCGGGCAGTTGTTCCAGTGTATCTTGGGTGCCTTTGAATCATTCTCAGCAAACTGACATAAGAACAGAAAATGAAATACCACATATTCTCACTCATAGGCAGTTGAGGAAAAATGAGAACACATGGACACAGGGAAGGGAGTACTACCCAATGGGGTCTATTGGGGGGAATAGGGGAGGGACAGCAGGGGGGGCTGGGGGGGGTATAGCCTGGGGAGAAATGCCAAATGTGGGTGAAGGGGAGGAAGGCAGCAAAACACACTGCCATGTGTGTACCTATGCAACTATCTTGCATGTTCTGCACATGTACCCCAAAACCTAAAATGCAATTAAAAAATACTCGAACAAATCACTGTCACTGTTTTCCATGTAGGTGCTTTTAATTCACATAGATGGTATCATTCTACCATTTCTCCTCCTCCTCCCTTTCTCATTCAGTGCTATGTTTTAAGATGTGACTGTCCTCTCTGAAGTCTTAAAACTCACTGAGATTTCCCAAAGAGCTTTTGTTTATGTGGGCTAACACTGTTGCTGTGTACTACGTTAGAAATGGAGACGCTTGAAAGAATTCGTTTGAGAATAGCAGTGATGGACTCATTGCATGTTAACATAAATAACATTTTGGCATTATTATGAAAATTGTTTTGACCTCGCAGAATTCCTGTCCTAGTTAAGTGTCAGTTTGTTTTAGAATATGAAAGCGTACTGTGAGGGACAAAATTTTGAAAGTGAATTTTATTTATGTTGTTTTATAATACCTGGTTCTGGAAAGAAACTGAAAGATACTACATTTTAGTAAAATCTGCTCTGGTTTCACGAGCTTGCCTCCTTGGTTACTGATGAACACCATTGCCTCAAACAGGAGAGGTGATTCTGGATAGCAAAGGTTCTGTATCATACCAGAATGCTTTATGGCGTTTCATGTTCAATTCGTAATGCCCTAGAATAGGACACAACAAAAGTTACTCGCTCAGGAGCAAGCTATGTGCATACTTCTCTGTTTATTTTACTTATGTATTTTGCAGTTCATGTCTGCATAGGCTTTTGAAGAAATTGAGATCCTGTCTGCCTTTTTAAAGAGGATGGGTCAATGGCTTTTAGTATATGGCTGGGCTCTGCAGACACCACCCCTGTCTGCTGGTAGAACATTACAAGAGGAAAGCCCACGCTCATCAGCAGACACTTCCTGCTACTCTCCCGCTACCCCTCACCCCTTGACAACCCCTGATCTATTTTCTGTTTCCATTCATCAGGTGATACACAGTTAGAATGCTTCCACTCTTAGCTATCATGAATGACGCCAGAAGCATTTGTGTGCAGGTTTTTATGGGGACATATGTCTTCGATACTCTTGGGTCTGTTTATTTTTTAATGCCTTCGTATCAATTAAATGAGTCGCCAAAGATTGTTTCTCAGGCACCCACGAGCATATATTTATCAAGCATCCAAATCTGACAGCTCTTTAGATGTTACCTTGCCAAATTAGATAAGAAAGAAAGAAATAAATAAAAAGGGGCTTTCGGGATATCTTGCACACCTATGGTAATTTCCTAGAGGAGCCTTGGAAAGTGACAGAGATTTGTTCATCCACCTTATATAAAATGAGAGGTGCTAGATTTGTTTGTGTTTCTATGATAAGATTTACGTGAGAAGAATTATCAAATTGGCAGAGATGCTCAGCCTTCCCCAGGTTAAAGTTACATAGACAAAAATGTTACTGATAAATTATTATATATTTTAGAAATTGTGTGTTTATGGGAAGTCCCTGGTGATTTGTCAATGCCCTCACCGCCCGGAATCCCTTTACCTTCAGGGAAAACACAGATCCAGACTGTTGTGAAATAGTTTGTACTGTCTCCTGATAGAGAAGTTTACTCTCCTCCATTCTGATATCATTGGTTGTAGTAATAAATTAACCACAGCTATGAAGTCTGTGTCATCTGCAGATAGTTTTTGGTTTTCTCTGATGCTCGCTTGAAGGTCCAGCTCTAAGCTACAGGCTGCAGTTGGTGTCATCAACAAAAAGAACAGTTTTAAAGCCTGGTGGTAAATGACTGGACCAGGCACTTCCAACTATCTGCATTTTATAGACTCGTGAGCACGAGCATCTGAGCTAGCATCACTTAAGCAGCTCTAAGATTGTAACAGTGGACGGAGTCAGGATTTCTAGGACTCTTTTTTAATGACTTCATGAAAGCAGAGAATATGAATCCAAGATCCAGTGGAACAAGAATTTATTACACGGGACTGCATGAGGTGCTGTGGGAATTTCAACATAGTTCTTTTTAAACTCGTGTTAAGGTTGTTTCAGTGTTCTATTTTCAGGCTCTAAAAGGAAACCTCTTCTTTCGCGCCATGTAACACACCACAATTTAGTGGACTCTGCTTTTGTATACTGTAATAAAAGATTCTAAAATGAGATTTGACTCGTGCTGGTGTGCAGGGGTATCTCGTTGTGGTTTTAATTTGCATTTCTCTAATGGCTAATGATGTTCACCATATTTTATATGTTTGTTTGCCACTCATTTAGGAAGTAAGATTCATTTTTTTTTCTTTTTCTCTTTTGAGACAGAGTCTCGCTCTGTTGGCCCGGGCAGGAGAGCAGCGGTATGATCTTGGCTCACCGCAGTCTCTGCCTCCCAGGCTGAAGTGATCCTCCTGCTTCAACCTCCTGAGTAGGTGGGACTACAAGCATAAGCCACCATGCCTGGCTAATTTTTTTGTATTTTTAATAGAGACAGGGTTTCACCGTGTTGGTCAGGCTGGTCTCGAACTCCTGACCTCAGGTGATCCACTGTCTTGGCCTCCCAAAGTGCTGGGATTATAGGTGTGAGCTACTGTGCCTGGCCTAGGGAGTAAGATTCTGAAGGATGCTCTGATGCCATCTCTTACAAGCTCCCCATTCTACAGATGGGGGACTTGAGATCCAAAAGGAGATGGCTGGCCATTTTCCCACAGCAAACTGTGGTCTCTGAGTAGAAACCGAGGAAAGATGTTGGGAGGACAGAGCACACTGAGCCAAGCCTCTGGGCAGACTCTGGAGCTCCCCCATCTCTTTGGCTTTTCTTCTGTCCCACGGTGGGATTGGTATGTGCAGGTCAACTCAGCACAGCTGCTCCTTTGGCATACAGTTCAGAGGAAGAGGACTTTGACCTGCTAAGCAGGAAAGAGTGTACCTGGTAGGTGCCTTGTCTAAGGACTTCTGAACATGGAAGTTCCTGAGTCCCTGTGAGCCCTGGGGCAGCCACAGAACAGACACCTGGAAGTAGAGGCAGCATCTTCTGATCCAGAGGTCAGAAGTCCAAACTGGATCTCACCTGGCTGAGATCAAGGTCTTGGCCGGGCTGTGTTCCTTCCCTGCCTTTTCCAGATTCTAGATGCCACCTCTTCCATCTTCAAAGCCTCATCATGGCTGGTGGAGGGTTTCTTCCACAGCATCACTCCTTCACATGGAAGGTCCCCTGTGATGATACTGGCCCACCCAAAAATTCCAGGATAACCCCCTATTTTACAGTCATCTGATTAGCAACCTTAATTCCCTTTTGCCATGTGAGATCACATCGTCACCACATCCATGGGATTAGGACACCAACAGCTTTGGTGGGGATTAATCAACCTTCCACAGCTTGCTTGGCCCCTGAGACTTGATTGTTCTGGGGAGGAGGAGCCCTGAAAGGGGCGGGTACCCCTAGGGTGTGGGTTCAGTAGATGTAGGCAGGAAAAGCAATATGTGAGTCACTTGTGGGCTTCTACTGGGGGAGCCGCCAAAACCTATCTCACATGGCCAACATCCTATGGAGAAAAATATGGCTGGGGAGGGTGTGGAGAGTAGAGGGTGGCAGAAGGCTGCAGCCTAATCAGACTTCAATTAGAGCGGCAACATTTGAGCCAAGCCTGGAAGGAGAAAAGGAGCCTCGCTGCAGACTGGGAAGAGAGTCAAGTCCAAAGACCCAGCAGGTCTGCAGGGCCCTTTGTGAGCTGGTTCTGGCTATACTTCGAGTTTCATTTCTTGCTTTTCCCTCTGAGCTCCCTCTCTGTTGAGCAGCTTGCAGTTTCCCCAAATGAAACGGGCTACCTCTAGCCTTGGTACCACTGGTTTTTTTTGTTTTTTTTTTTTCAGTATCTCCAGTGATGGCTATAAGGTAGGTGCCACTGTCGATGCTATTTTTTTTTCCTGCTTTTATTGTAAGGCTTCCTAAGGGAGGCCTCAGGAAACTTACAGTCGTGCAGAAGGGGAAGCAAACATGTCCTTCACATGGAAAAGTCCCTTATAAAACCATCAGATCTTGTGAGAACTCACTATCATGAGAACCACATGAGGGTGACTGCTCCCACGATTCAATTACCTCCCACTGGGTCCCTCCCACGACACATGGGGATTATAAGAACTACAGTTCAAGATGAGATTTGGGTGGGGACACAGCCAAACCATTTCACTGCCTGAGATGGGTTTCTTTCCTCTTCCCCCTTCTCCTGACCAAATCCTACATTACCTCCAGGTCTCAGCTCATTCATTACCCCACCCAGGACTTCAGCCCTGCTCCAAATCTAGGTTAGGGTTCTCTTCCTGGGCTTTGGACCCACTAGTATCATCTCATCACACTGAGTTGGTAGTTTCCCCATCTCAATTTTGAAGCTTCCAGCAGCTGGAGATTGTCACATTCACTACTGTGTCCCTAGCATCTAGCATGGGGCCTAGATCATAGCAGGTGTTCAGTACTTATCTGAGATGAATAAACACTCTCTACTATTTATTTGGCCCCTGTGCTGAACAGTACAGCTATTGTTAACACAGGTCATGGGATCAAACTCTCTCATTGAATTCTGACGCTGTTACTTTGGGTAAATTGCTTCGCTGATCTGTGCCACTGTTTTCTATAAGGAGGAAATAATAGTAGTACCTTTCCCACTGGGCTGGTATGAGGACCAAGATAGCCAACCCCAGGAATATGCCTACAAGAGAACCTGACACAGGGTATGTGCCCCCAAAACCTGTTCTAATGGTCTCTAATATTTTGTGTGTATGCTTTTACCCACTCAACTTTTAGCCATCAGTTACCCTGAAACAAAACAGAAGAAAATGGGAAATAAAGTAAAGGTCCAAAATACTTTGATCATCAGAAGGGGAGCCCTGTTGAGGGATTCCATGGTTCTCTGTGCTGGGCCATTTTCTATTTCCGGAGCAGTTTTCCTGATAGGACATTTGGAGACCCCTTCACCCCACATATTCTTTTTGGCTTCAGGTAGGAACTACATCTAGCCACTCTGCCTTCAAAACAACAAAACCCCCTGCCTCTATGTGTGTGTGGCTCCTGACCCAAAGCCCACCTGGAAGTGTGATGGCCACTCCCTGTTCAATCTGTCTTCTCCATCAGATCTGGTCAGTACAGTGCTCAGCACCTAGGCCACTTTAGAGAACACACAAAAGGTCCTAATTTCTTTTTAAAAGCCAAGGAAAGATGAGTCTTAGGTTGAAGAAAATGTTTAACAACAGAATATCAACATATTTGTCTTTATACCAATGCAGTCATACAGTATATTTTATGATAATGTTAATGGAGGAAGGCGTTCACCAAAGCAAAAGTGCTCGGGGCCCCAAAGAGTCAAAACACAGCCCCAGTCCCTCTGTTCTGTCTTCACCCTTACCCAGAACTAGGAGAAGGAGGGCTGAGAAGTTTCGAATTTGTTATGACTCCAGCAGGATGTGAATACGCCTTGGGAAGAAGGGTTTTCTGGATGAAGTTCCAGTCTCACTCTACATATCATACCCAATCCCACGCTCCTCCACATCCACCATCAGTCCTGAGGTGGTCTGCCAGACCCCTTGTTGGCTACTTGTGTACCTGTGCACGCACTGACAGATGCATCCTATACCCTCTTGCAGGTTCACTTACATACATGCCCACGTGTTGACATATGTACCCCATCTTCCATATGCATCTAACATCCCTTCCCCCAAGCTTTTGAATTCTAACATGTTAATTGCTGTTGTCTTGCCCTCTCCTCTTTCAATCCTTTCCTACTGCCAGCGGGCCAAGAGTCAAGAAGACCTGGGCTCTAGTGCTTGAGCTAAACGTGTGTCATTCTCTGCACAACTCTTTCCTTCTGGGTGGTCTTGTGATCTGGAGAAAGATACTTAAACATTATGGCCTCGATTTTTTTTTATTTGTAAAATGGGGATTTGTTGAGTGACCTCTGTTCCCTGCTCTGGGACCTGGATCATTCATCTACTCTTTGGAATTCCCAGCCCCTGTCCCACATGTCTGATTCTAAGAGGATCACCCCACCTGCTGGCCATGGGTGACTGGTCAGAGGTGAGCATGTGATGGAAGGTGGGTCAATTAGAGCTCCTCCTCTGTGGCATTTTGAACTGGAACTAAGGGAAGAGGAATAGTCTGTCTTTGCCAGATGCGTAGCTTAGAGCCAATGAGTTCATGTGACAAATGTTTATTGCGCACCTACTGTGTGCTTGGCATTGTTCTAGATGATGAGGATACAGCCAGCTAAGGTCATGTTTCCTGCCATATGGAAGACATCAGTCTGAGAAAATAAAGCCATCAGTTAGAGCAAAGCAGAAATAAGAGAGAGAGGAGTCCTGGCAATATTTGAGTTCCCAGTTCAGGTTGTTCAGGAGGCCCTTCCAGACATACAAGAGAGTCCAGCTTCTATCCACTAATTCTCTGTTTTGCCTGGGCCAGTTGTACCTGGATTTCTGTCACTTTCCAAAGACCTGACTACTGCCAAGGTAATATGTTCTGACTGGCTCATGTCCCACGGTTCTTGGAGTTGTAATTATTTTATGATTCCCTAAAGGATTTCTCAAGCTCAGCTCAGGGTCACATCCATCCTCTTGCCCTGATGGTGGAGTCACTCATTCATTCATGTGTGCACTCTTGCAGCCATGCACTGCTCAAAAAACACAGCGCCCGCCTCTAGGAGTTCCCATTATTCTTTTGGAGGACTTGGATAAGGAGACAACCAGGCATTGAAATCTCAGCCCTCATACATCTCAACAGTATCTGATACCTTTGGTCATTTACCTCATTTTCAGACATAACTTTTCACTTATCTTTCAGGAAACCATACCTTCCTGGTTTCTCTCTGCCTGCTTGGCCATGCCTTCTTCCCTTCCAGAGCTCTTGCTGTGGGAGGGCCCAGAGATCCTTTCTCAGACCTCCTTTCTAGTATCTCCTGGGGGAACCTCATGCCATTCCTGCTACCTTAAACCCCATCTTTGCACAGATGCTTTACAAATTCTTATTTCTAGCCCTGACATCTTCCAGAACTTCAGGTTCACATATATAATGTCCACTGGTGTCTCTAGTTTCTGAGTATGTAGGGTGTGTCCCCACTGTCCCTCTTCATCACTCCCCACCTTTCTCTGCTTGTTTTCTGTCCTTGAGGCTGGCCTGCGTGGAC